AATTTTTTATCCCACTAGGTGACCAAGAAATGTTTTTACTTTCTCAAATTTGCCTGAAGTTGGTCAGAGAATACCTCGAGGATCTGTTCAGTGAAGTAAGGCTCAACTGAATGACATTCCCTATTTGGGTAGGCAGCAATAGTTTGTTGACAATTACCTCAACCATCTCCCAGCTCAAACACATCTTCCATTTCATCTCTGCCCCATCTCTGATTGACTTTAAAATTATTACATCCAGGTTGGTGTAGCCTTATTTATAAGTGGTAACAACCCTTAATATCTGTTATGTAACAACTATTCTAAAATGGCCTGCTTGCTTAGACAGTTTTATTTCACATAAGGGGTGAATTTGTGTGTTTGAGTCTGAGGTGCATCAAGCTGAACCACAAAAAGGGATTTTTAGAGTAGAAACTGTATCCAGAAGGCAAGTCAGTGCAGAATAGCTACTGCAGTGTAAGTACACACCTAAGCTTATTTTATAATAGCTTCACTTAACAATTACTTAACAAAAGAGACAAGGGGGAGGTGAGCGTGACCATAAGGGTTAAACAGCAAAATGCAGATGATTGCTGTAACTACCTTCCAGGATAACCTTGTTCATGGAGGAAACACAGCCAGTCTGCTAGGCAAGAGAATGTAGGGTTGTACAGAACTTTTGAAATACTATTTAATGTGTTTGGGTTTAGGGTTTTGGGGTTTTTTTTTTGGTATTTTTATAAAATACCTAAAGTTGTATTGTGGTCATATAATACAGAGGAAAAAGATAGGTACATGTGCCTTTATAGAGCATACCTTTTCCCTTTCCCCATTTTTCTTTCAATTATTACTAGTTATTGAGATACACAACTTCTAAATTAACTGGGTGCTCTCCAGTAATACATTCATTTTCCTGTTTGCTCACGTAGTGACACGTAACATTGTTTTCTGAAATAATTATTTCTGTAATAATTGTGCTGCTTTTTTCTTGCACAAGTATGAGGCAAGTCAGTGCTCATTCATTTGAATGCAGGCCTCCTACATGCAAGATATGCCCATCCGAAACTATGAAGACATATTCAACCCTGAAGACCTGCTTTCAGTGCATTGCAGTCACAATAAGTTGACCTGTCATTAGATCAACTGATTCAAGTTGGGGAAAAAAAAAAGTATGGAGGTATAAATGCCCTTATTAAGACTTAATTTTTCACCCCCTAGACCATCTCAGTTCCAATTATGTCATTTTAACTAATGTGAAATGCAAAGTTTTATATATTATGGTGGCACAAATAAAAACCATATTACAGTGCCATGGGTAAAGCTACAACAGAAAGGCTTTGCCTGCCTTTATGTGAGAGGCAGAGTACAAAGTCATTGGGATTATTAGTCAGAGCTTTTCCAGTCTTAAGTGGTCACTCCAAGCTTTGCAGTAATTGCCACCGACTCAGTGGCCACTTCACAGACCTGTTTGCCCTTCCAGCATGGTGAGTCACTATGACATAGGGCATACACATAGGAATCCTGTCAGGCAGTGCCAAGGACCTAAGCCCCATCCCAGGAAAGTTATGGCTCTTCCTGCAGCCTCTTTTTTGAAGAAAAATCGTGTATATAGTAAACACATTATATTGCACACAACAGCAATTTTACTGGAATTTTAGGAATGGCTATAAACAGCCCTATATCACAGCAATGAACAGAATCTCATCCACTGGAATACGCAAGGAGCAAACATCTCCTGGTGTTAACTGTGCTCTCAAAGAAAAAACCCTCACAAACTCTAAGCGCCTTTTCTCAGTGACTCAGTTTAATAAATTGAAGCGCTAGGTCCTGCACTTAGGTCACAACCACCCCATGCAGCACCACGGGCTTAGGGAAGAGTGGCTGGAAAATGCCCAGTGGAAAAGTACCTGGGGTGCTGGTCGACAGCAGCTGAACAGAAGCCAGCAGTGTGCCCAGGTGGCCAAGAAGGCCAATGGCATCGTGGCTTGTATCAGAAATAGCGTGGCCAGCAGGAGCCGGGCAGTGACTGTTCCCCTGTACTCGGCACTGGTGAGGCCACACCTCGAGTCCTGTTTGTACTGGCCCTCTCTCTTCAACAGGGACATTGAGGTGCTGAAGTGAGTCTAGAGAGGGGCAACAGAGCTGGTGAAGGGCCTTATGAGAAGCAGCTGAGGGAGCTGGGCTTGTTTAGCCTGGAGAAAAGGAGGCTCAAGGTGTAGTGAGGTGGGGGTTGGCCTCTTCTCCCAGGCAACAAGTGACTGGATGAGAGGACATAGTCTCAAGTTGCACCAAGGTAGGCTCAGGTTGACATCAGGAAGAATTTCTTCACGGACAGCGTTGTCAGGTATTGGAACAGACTTCCCAAGGAGGTAGTGGAGTCACCATTCCTGGAGGTGTTCAAGAAACGACTGGACGTGGCACTTAGTGCCATGGTCTAGTTGACAAGGTGTAGATCTGTCAAAGGTTGGACTCGATAATCTTGGAGGCCTTTTCCAGCCGTAACGACTCAATATGATTGTGTGTGACTGCGATTCAGACGACGAGCCGCCATCCCCCCCCAGCTCGGGCCATCGCCGCTTTAAGGGGGTGTCCCAGCGTTTCCCTGTTTAAGGCCCGCGCGCGCGCGGCGGGCCCGGGGCGGTGCCGGTTGTGGTCGGGCGGTCGGGGCGGCTCAAGGTGAGCGGGAATTTCGGGGGAACTGGGGAATGGAGCCGTGCCCAGGGTCCGCCGGGGGGAGCTCGGCAGAGTCCACTCGGTCCTCCTTCCCGGGAGTCGTTTCGTCAGGGATTAGCGCCTCCTCGCTGCGGGGCAGGCGGGGACACAGGTGTGGCGCTTGGAAGAGGCTGCTGGGATTGCCCGATCCCTGGAACGAGAGCGGGAATGGAGCTTTACTGAGCTCCGGGATGCCGGGGCGGTGGAGCGGTCACGGAGGAGAGGAGAGGAGCCCACGGCACCTCCAGATGAGCCCGCAGGACCGACCCCCCTGCGCTGCCTCTCCCCCTCTCGGTTTCCCTCTCCGGGGCTGTTCCGCCTGCAGCTTCTGACACTGGTCACGACCTGCCTGCAGGGGCTCCTCCACCTTGGGCAGCAGTGATTTCTAACGGGGTCTTTAGGCATACCTGCGAAAGTGGATAATCAGTGCGCTCTCTGGGATTGCTCTCACGTGGGAGCCTGCATACTGCACCATAGGCTGCCCCCAAAAAAATCCCGTCAGGTGATACACCTGCCTTTCTGGGAACAGTCTACATTCCTCATGTGAAATTCTGCTAAGAAAAAAATAGGCCTTGTGTATATATACTATATAAATATATGGTATTTAAAAATAATTTTCAGCAACTCCAATACAACTATTTATATATAAAAAAAAGCCTAAGATGCTGTACCTGAGAACTTTTAGTTTTGGGTTTTTTTGGCACCTAAATCTGAAAAAGTAAAGTTTATATAGTCCTATTGTAGGTAGATATGAATGTGTATACTTACTGGAACTTTTGCTCTGTATGTCAGTGAAATCTGATAAAAAGCTCAAAAATATTAGGCTTCTTGGAATATAAAAAAAAAAAAAAAGATGGCTGGATCAAGGTTCTACTACTGTGGTAATTCTTTCTTTTTCATCTGCTTCTTTCTTGGAGGAAAGACTGCATCTTTCCTCAGCCCTTAACAGTGTGTCAGAAAGCCCACATGAAGAAAACTGTGGGAGGAACTTCACACCGGAGAATTCAGTGATAAGACATAGAACATTAGGAAATCTGGATTTATTAGTTCAGTTCATGAAAGTACTCAACCTTTTTATGGCATGTGCTTTTCTCCATTCATGACAGTTAGTATTGATTCTGGCTTGTGATTAATTAATATTCATCAAATGTAGAGCTCCTTAGGGATGTGGTGAAGACTTTGGTACTTAATCCACTACATTTTCTTTTCCATTTCCATTTACCTCACCTTACTAGTTACACTTTTGTGTTTTTTTTTCTTTTTGACCAGTCATTCCTGTCTCCATTTCCTTGGTTCTGTCCCATTCATCATTCCCAGTTTCTTCAGTTCTCTCTCCCCATGCTGTTTCTCTTTTGTGTGCTTTACTGACCTTTAAGTTGCTATTCTTGCCACGTTTCTCTGTTCTGATTCCTAGTCCCAGTTCTTCTTCTCATCTTTCTTTCTTGCGCATTCCTCATTCAGAGTCATTCTTTCCTGAAATTTCTTTTCTTGAGTTTCCTCTGAGGATCCTTGCTCCAGCCATTTTAACACTGCAGTTTCAGAAGACTTCCAAATATTCTTGTCCTCTGTTTAAATTGACTGCTTTCTTCCTTCATGCTGCCTGGGCCTAATACAGGGCAACCTTCTCTTCCTTTTCCTTTTTTTTTTCTAACTAGGCTGCACGTGGCATGGGCTTTAACAACTTGAAAGCAGGTGAATCATTCTGGCAAAATATATGTAACTGAAAAGCGTGTCTTACAGGCAGTCTCAGAAACAAGAAGTTCTAGGAACCAAGCCTAGGACAAATGAACAAACTGGAGCATTTTAGCATTGAGGAATTTATTTAATGCTTTTAAAAGGAGTTGTTGTGTGTGTCTGCAAAAATGGGGAAAGGCAAGGGAGCAAAGGGATAAGAATAAAACTGGGCTAAAACATACTTATACTCCCATGCAGATACTGCTGTTGTGCTGCTTAATGGTCCTGTTGTACTTATAGTATGGGTCAGATAGTGTAAACTTGGCATAGAATGATGATGTTAAAACTTGCTATTGATTTTTACTCTATTTGATGTTAAAGTGTAAAACCAACTCAGATTGCTTTTGCTTGGAAAAGCTAAACAATGCTAATGTGTGTTGCTTTGTGTTGTCTTTTAAAAAAAACAAGAGTCAAAAGCATCCTTCATGTTGGCATTATGCATGTATTGGAAAAGATTGTGTATATGATACAAATCCCCTTTATTTCACTTTTAAAAAATCTGTTCTCTCTCTCCAAAAGCTTTCCTCAGTTTACAGTGCTAAAGGATGGTGCCTCTACTTATTTTCTTAAGTCACTTGTGTATTGTTTATAAGGTGAGGAAAGCTTGATTTACAGTATGCTGTGGTGTTAGTGTGACCATTTGCTTGCATAATGGTGTTGCTGACTTCCACTGTAAGTGCACTCATATTTAGAAATAAATGGTCCATCTGCAGTGTTGTATTTATTGTGACAGTTATCATAAAATGAGTGACAATTCACTTACCAGCTTAGCTTTCTGTCCACCCACTCACAATGTCTGGAAGATCTTCAAATTAAATTAGTACACATGCTCCTCAAACAAAAGCTGTGAGAATGACCAGGGAAATAAACAGCATTTTTGTTCCCTCAAAATGTCAGGCATTCAAAGAAGTAGTCAAAACTTATATTGGATACTTTTTCCACTCTTTTTCTAGTCTTTTTCCAGACTGTTCTAAATTGTTTTGTCCAAAGAACTCTGCAGGTCACTTATTTTTCGCTGATGTGATACTGTAAAGACACATTTGAGGTTCTTTCATTATAGCTTGTAGCCTCCTTAGGTCTTGAAATACTGAAAAGAAATTAACTCTAGAATAAATGTTGCCAAATAAGTAGCTTTTCAAGTGCAAACACAATCAAGTGCTCAACCTTTATCTTTTTTTTTTTTTTAATAAGATACTTGTGTTTTGAGTCAGTTGTGGGTTTTAGAGGAGAGGGAAAGGCCAGGGACACCTTTTCTCCTGATAACTCTTTAATTATGTTTTCAGGACTCCAGGCTGTAGTTTTTGATGGTTTGTGAGTGCTGTAATGTAAACGCTGTAACGATACAGAAGAAGGTTCTGTATTTTGCAGTGTTCAAAGAATAAAGGTGTTGGATAAGTGGTGATGACGTACTCTTTCAGGGCTCATCTTTTAGCTTCACTCCAATTTGCCATTCTTGTCAGCAAAATAAACATTATGACAAAGACATCAGCTATCATGTTTCATTCCATAATGTCCTTGGTTCATGTGGATGTTGTTTATTTATGACACTCTGCTGAGAACAGTAGTAACACTTTTATTTTGTATTAGCTCTGAAAGCATGTAAGATCATGATTTTTCTCCTGTTAAATCAGTTTAATTCCCTCTTAATCACTTTGCATCTCACAGGTGCAAGACCACAGATTTACAGTCCTCTTTTAAACAGTTTAAAGTCAAGGAAAAATTATTCTGTAGATCAGATCAAGTGGAAATCTAATTCTTTCTTATCTCTGGGCCAGACCATTTCTTAGGAGAAAATGCACTGCTAGTAGAAAGAATTACTGTTTCACACAACACATCTTACCCAACAATCTCTTTTTATCAAGTACCTGCAAACTGATATTCTGAAGTGCCTGTGTGCCTTTTATTGAGTGGCACCTGACTTTGCATGCAAAGCTGTCTCTGTGTCTTTTGGGTGGGAACAGAGTATTCTCAGTCAGCACCCGAAAGCGAATCAAACACATTTCCTGAAACCTGGTAGGAGGTGGTGATGGTCTTAAAGGAGCATGGGACAGTATAATTTTCAGTCTTTCCAGCATGTGCTACTGCAAAGTTGTATAAAATCTGGGCTTTAACAAGATATACAGGGAAACTCCTTACTCACACATTTATTTATTTTATGTGTGAGGTTGGTTTAAATGATTCCTTATATGATTCTTGGGCATGGATGCTGAAGCTGGTGGGGCCCGTGTTTCATCCACAGTTTCCAAATTCTTTTTTTGCCCCATATTCTTTTTTTGAAGAAAACTTATGTTTCAGTCCTTCAAACAACATTTTCTTTTGTAGAAATCCAGTGCGAAATTGCTGCAAAGCAGGGATGATTATACAGAGAGTAGTGCTGAATTCACGGCCTGGTATGTATTTCTCTCCGATAAAGAAGCCATTGTGTGTTATGGTTGCCTTATGCTCCAACATGGTGAGGGTAGAAACAGGCTCTAACATGAGATATTGGCATTTGAATGCCTTAATATTGCATGCAGCAATAAATAAAGTTTATTGTGAAGTGCTTTTTATTTAGTCCATATATACAGATTTCTAAACTCTTGGGTGAGTAAATTTTCTGTTGTAGAAGACATTAAGTTTTGCAGGGAGTATTGTATGCTGCTTAATGCCAATATAGTCCTAAGCAGTAAGAATTGTTGTTTGACCTGCAAATAAGTCTTTCAAAATGTTACAACAGTAGCCTGCTGGAGTTGTGCAGTCACTCTGACTTAAAATATACACGCGTGTCTGACTGTCTCCTTTTAGTGCCAGTGGTTCCAGTTGTCAGTCTGATTGATCTGCTGCATGTGGTACCAACCCGAGGATGAAGGCTCCAGTTCTGGGGCTCTTGGCACAGTTTTACAGGTGTTTCTGGGAAGCTTTAATTTAAAGAGGTCTGTCTGTATATGCAAAGGGATGCTCTTGAAGCATATGCATGTGCAGTGGCTGTGATCTGTATTCCCTCAATCCTGCTTGTGTCAAAAGAGGCAGAAAGGTGAGAGTTTAAAACTGGTTAAAATTTATGGTCATTTGCTATTGGCAGAATAGTGCATGATGATTTTGTTGTGTGTGAGAAGTCCCAGTGCATATCTTAGTTTTGACCACTAGGGGCTTTTCAGTGTATAAGAGTGTACAGAACCATTTTTAAGAATGGGAACAGTCCCTGATTTTATTTTTTTAAATTTGCCCTAATTGTTCATAACGATCATGTGTAGCAAACAGCATGGAAACTGAAAGTTGGTAGGTAGTTTTACACCTGAGTAAATATATAACCTAACTTACTCTAAAAAGGACTAACTTGAAAAAAGGCCTTCCTGTATTGATTAAGGGAAGCTCTATATTGAGTCATTTATTTGTTTGATTTTAAAATAATTCTAGGGAAGAATGGAGTGCCAGTGGCTGAAAACTTCCGACTAGAACAAAGTACAATAGCGGATACGGTCCAAGCAGGACAAGTGCGTGTTAAAACCCTCTATCTCTCTGTGGACCCTTACATGGTAGGTGACGGACTTAGGGCTAAGCCAGAATTTGTTTTATAACATACCTTCAACTCTGTACCTGTCATGATGTTTAACACTGAAGTTACTAATTATAGGACTCCAGTATATCTCTAGTATAACTTAATAATTGTATTCATTCTGATGGAGTTATGTTGGGAAGGAATTCGGCTTTAATGTGCCTTGGATATATGTAGAAATATGACTTTATAGAACCAGGAAGGGACTGTGAGCCCTGGTATACCATTACAGATTTGTTTGTATCAGCTTTTCCTTTAACCTTTAAAATTCTATAAGAATTTTGCCTTTCCTATATACGTATTTTCCAATTCTATACAATTGTAAAAATCATGTGGTTGGGAGAGTTGGGGTTGAAATGAAAGTGAAGGTGGAAGAAGAACCAAAGAGACACAGTCTGTAAAAGTTTGCTATAAAGAGAATTCTGAGCATTTATTACCTGCATAGATGGAGATAGTAGAAAAGTCTACGTTTCTGGAAAGTAGGTTTAGCTTGGGAGTTAAGAAAAAGTTTAATGATCCTGAAGTACTAACTTAGGCAACAGGGGGAGATGTAAAGAAAATACTTCTGATTTCAAGATGTTTCATTAAACAGATCTGTCAAGGATGGTCTACATATGTTTGACTGCATTTCAGTGCATAGGCATGGACTAAGTGATTTGTGGGGTGTATTTTTCAGTCCTGCATTTCTAAGATGCATTCAGTTAAGGAATGGAATTTGTAGTATTCTTGTCAGATCTGAGCCAGTTATCTTTGGTTGCATGGGTGCCTTTGAGGTAACATCTATAGAATGCGTTGGCTTTGGTAACACTGCCGGAGGAGAACAGAATGGTCCATCCTCCTTTTGTACTGAGCAAACAAGGGGAAAGATAAGACAAGATTATGAATATTTGGGGCTTATTGAGAGATTTTTGAGGAGCCCTTTGTGTTTGAAGTTTTACGTACATCTCCTCAAGTTAAAGCCTTGTCTTTCAGCGCTGCCGAATGAATGAGGACACTGGCTCCGATTACCTCCAGCCCTGGCAGCTCTCTGAAGTTGCTGATGGTGGCGGTGTTGGGGTTGTGCAGGAGAGCAAGCATGATAACTTCGCTGAAGGAGACTTTGTAACTTCCTTCACCTGGCCCTGGCAGACAGTGGCAATTCTTGATGGAAGCTTGCTACAAAAGGTAATATAAATGCAAAGCCCGGATTGTCTTTTACTATTTCTTTTACTAAACCTTTTTTTTTTTTCTAAATAACTGCTGATACTACTAGTGTTAACTACCGTTAATGATACTGGTTTTTAGTCAAAAACAAACCAACGTTATTCAAACAACTAGTTTTCAGAAGGCAGATCCAGTCATAGGTGCCAAAAGAAAAATTTAGATGCTTTTGTTGGTTAGCAGGCATGCCACTATTATTTCAGTTGTTGTTTTTTTAATAAATTTGCCTGAAACTCCTTCTGTTAATTAATTCTGATAATTATTCTAATTCTAGTAGAACTCCTGATCCATGAGAGTGTAGTTGCAAGACATGAAAAGCTTTCAACATGTTTAATTTAATTTATTTCACTCATATATGTTAGTAAAAGCTTTTACTTGAGATTTTACATCCACAGAAGAAAAAGTATTCAATATTAAGTTGAAAGTGGAGAGGGAACAGTGCACTAGATATATTGTGTTGCTCGTTCTCTTGTAACACAGAAAATTACTGTAGTTAGAGAATTTATACTTTCCAATAAACTCCTCCCTTTAGGGCTCTTTGCCACTGATCTGCAATCACAATATTTGATAAAATGGTGAATTTTCATTCCTTATAGGGATTGTTCACTTGCTGGAAACTTCTTGTCTCCCAACTGCTTTTTGACACTTTCATAATTTAAATTTTTGTGAGTGGCTTTGTTTAAAAACTTTTTCTAAAACTATGGAAATATAAAGTTTTTGTATGAACTTGTTGTTAGGATAGAGCTAGTCTAGAGATAGCTCCTCCCTGCCAGTTGTGCCTTGCCTGGAAAATATCCTGAGTTAGTCTTCTATCCTCAGGCAGTCAAACAGCAAAACTCACCTTAAAAGCAAATGAAGACCACACGCGTTTCTGTTTTGTAGCTTGTTCCACAGCTTGTAAATGGACGCCTTTCCTACTTTCTTGGTGCAGCTGGGATCACAGGACTGACGGCCCTGCTGGGTGTCAGGGAGAAGGGACACGTGGCTGTGGGTGCAAATCAGACAATGGTGGTGAGCGGAGCAGCCGGTGCTTGTGGCTCTTTGGCTGGCCAGGTAGGATGGGCTTAAGACACATGAACATACTCTGTGACCGAGTTTTGTCTTCTGGAACATGCTGAAACATGCTGGTTACTAAACACGTGGATAAAATCATTGTAAACATGAGTAGGTATAACCACATGGGAAGAGCCAGTTTCACAGATTTGGCACACACTCTCACTGGGAAAGATTTTAGATGTGAAACTAAGTGTCATGAAACTGGGATAGGAGAGAGCAGCCCATGGTGATCACTTGTTGCTAGCATAAGTAAAGTAGATGGTGTAAATACCTGTATTTTTATATATTTAAATAGTAGCCTGCCACCTCAACATTCTTTGTATTGACTAGAGACTTTAATTTTTTTTCTGTGGTCAGTAGAAAAAAATGTGGTAAACCCTTCTTTGTGCTGTGTTCTGTGACATTCTTTGTGTTTTGAGGTTTACAGCCGTTTTGTCCTCCTCAGTTTGCTTTGCACACTGTTGCAGTGTGTATATGCATATCTACAAATATATATATATAATACATACTCATATATACACAAACACAATAGCTATTGAGCAAGCTTTAGACTTACTAATAGAGAGAAGCTACGAAGAAACAATGCATAAGCAAATGGATGAAGAATGTATTTACATTCATTATTGTCTAATTTTTTCCCTTTTATTAGCTAAGTTATGTTACTTAGCAGATGTAATTGTATACTATATTTGGTTCTCAAGTACTACCAGTCATTGGTGACTCCACAAATTAAATCTTCTGCAGTCAGTGAGTTATGGAAAGATGGCAAATTGTACCTGCCCCTTATCTAGGTGTGAGGAGGGAGTGACAAGAGGCAATTGTGTCACATGGGATAGGGGCATGCACTGGACTTTGCTGCCTGCAGTTTAGTGGATGGGGGATAACTGTAACATTCTCTAAGGTCCCCTTTCTCCCACTGGTACCTGTATGCAGATGAATGGTTTGACTTGTCTTTATAGTTTGGGGGTTTTAGTTGGTTTGTTGTTATTTTTTTTTTAACTGTATGCCTACAGATTGGCCGTCTGGAGGGCTGCTCTAGAGTGGTGGGAATCGCTGGCACAGATGAAAAATGCTCCATTTTGGTCCAAGAAATGGGGTTTGATGCTGCTATCAATTACAAGAAGGGAAATGTAGCAGAACAGCTACGTGAACTCTGCCCAGGCGGCGTGGATGTTTACTTTGACAATGTTGGTGGAGACATCAGTGATACGGTTATTAGTCAGGTGATTATTCCAGCTGTCAGGCTTATTCTAGTTATTCTGCAGTGTCTGCATGCCCAGCTTTGAATCAATTCATACTAGAGTCCATCCTGTAATACAGCAGAGCAGATTTTCCACTTCAGTGATCTAATCCAGGTGCCGATCCTGGTCTTGAGGAGAAAGCAGATATTTGAAATCAGTATCTGTCATTTGGACTAACCTGGCAGTACAGTAATTGAAACACGATTTCTGCTTCTTGTCTCTCACATCTTAGGCCAGGAGACTTGGTAATATTCTATAAAAATTTTGTCTATCAGCACAGTAATCTTGTCTTTTGCCAGCTTTCGTTTTCTGGCTTGATGCAAGACTAGTTCTGCAGGGCCTCCATAAAGACTTCATTGTTAACATACAACCACTCTGTGTCGTGACAGGGAGGCTTCGGTGGCAATGCCATCTTTGGGAGTTCTAAATCACAGCTGTATCCAACAGCTGTATTAAATTTCTCTGTCCTATTATCCCTCTTCTGAAAAAAGGGCACACAGTAAGATAACAATTTCTCATATTCCTTTTATTTAGTGCCTTTTAAAATTACAGTAGGCTGTATAGCATTTATTTTTCCACTATTGCCTTACATTTACCCATTTGAGTGCTGTCATAGGTTGAATGAGACTGCATGCAATTTTCCCACTCTTTTACAGGAAGTGTGGTTCATGTGAAAGTTTTGCAATATAATCTATTGCATCTCTGAAAAATTTAGTTTTTGAGGCAGAGGAATGTAATTTTTCCCACTTTGTGCTGTCCCAAACAGATGAATCAGAACAGCCATATCATCCTGTGTGGACAGATTTCTCAATATAACAAAGATGTGCCTTATCCTCCTCCGCTGCCTCCTGACATAGAAAAAATACGGAAAGAAAGGAACATCACAAGGTACATTTCTCCTCCAGAACTAATGACCAGGTTCCAGGTCGATTGCACATGTGTTGTTGTGACTCTGATGTTTGGAAGGTAGTCTGTAGATCCTCAATAGACATGTGTAATCTGAGCAGTGTGTTGCCATGCCTAAAAAGGAAACTGTAATCACAATGTCGGTAAATCCCTTCTCTTACATTTATCTTTATCAGCATAAAAAATGGGAAGTGATGTTGTTACACATGCTCATACATATCTATTGTTACACTTTTTTTGTGATGGATAGATGTAGTCCTGGAATGTATAGCAGATTCTTTAGTACAAGAGAAGGTGTTGCTGTGGTTCTGTAATCTCCAATGTGCCTTCTCAGAGTGCCTTCTCACAAAGTGTAGTAATTCAGGCAGAGAGAAAATCAAATATTTTTTGAAGTAAGGATGCAGCTGATGCAGTTAATTTTATTGAAATTACATTTTTAGTATTTGGAGGTTTTTTTATATAATGGGACTGTAGGTGTGACATATACAGGTAAAACAGTTTTGTTATGACTCTGGGAATTGCTGAATCTCCTATCAGGATTCAGATGCAGCCAAAATAGAGATTGGGAGCCGAGTCTTAGGAGAGTTTTCAGTCATTGCATTGCAGAAAGTTGGGGAGACTTTTGATTTCTGTGCAAATGGATTGACCTCTTCTAATTAGAATTCTTTTCTTGTCCCCGTTACTCTTGTCTGCATTTCAAAAAATGGATAAAATTAGTAGAATACAGTGCAGAATTTAGTCAGTATGTTGCTAGAAGTAATTATGATTTTTGATGATCATTTCAGTTTCTTGATTGCTATAGAAAGCTGTGACAGCAGGATATGCAAAATTTTGAGTAGCCTGAAGTTAATTTATAGTCACCATCTAATTGCAGCCCCATTAATTATTCTCTCTACTACCAAAAAAAAAAGGTAAAAAATAATAGGAATTTGCTTACATTTTATGGACATTTGCTTATTCTGGTGATATCAGTTTTATTACTCTTATCTCTGATACTTTAACATAATTACTTGTCTAAGACAGATGTTTCTGTCAAGTTCCCACTGCAGGGAACTGTCACAACAAGCTGGCAAAGGTCTGAGCTACATCTCATTGTAATTTGTACTCATAACCCTTCAGTTTCAACAATGCTGTTTCCTGAAAATTTTTTGTAAATATTTTAAAATGTTTACCAGTGTTTTTTACATCAAAACTCATTCTTTTCTTTCACAGGGAAAGATTCTTAGTGTTGAACTATATGGACAAACATGAAGCTAGTATATTACAACTCTGCCAGTGGATCCAAGAGGGTAAACTGAAGGTGAGAACTTTTAGGTTTGATCTATGGTCTCTGATACTATATCCTCAGATCATGGTCTGACTACAAGAAGACCAATTTCTTTGTCCTTGGCTCTCTTACTGTGCTCAGAATTGGACAGACTTTCTTAAGAATGTGTAAGTATGATTGAAAGCTTATAAGATAGCACTGTTTTAGAAGGTACCTGTGAGGATGGTCTGACTAATATGACAGACTTCTCTAATTACATGCTGCTCATGTCTTTATTTCAGTTTTCTTTATTTCAGTATAGGGTGCACTTTTTACTTAAAGGATCAGGCCTTCAAAAATATGACTTTCAAATATCTGATCAGTTAAGTGTCCAGAATGCTTCTGAGGATCTTGTCTGATTTTTTATTTCAAGCTTTATAATCATCATTTATTATTTTGTGATAGGTATGTGCTTAATCTATACCTTCAGACAGAGGTCTGTCTGAATTAGTTTTTGTTTCTTCTAGTGATCAGTAAATTTTCCTGGGAAAATCCTGAGATGTGAAATTTTGGCAGAGGCAGGGATCTAATTGAAGAATTAAACAGTTCCTGTTCTGAATGAAGAATTAAATCACCTGCACACTTCTGAGAAAATATCCATGTCTCTCTTGATGAAAGAGTCTGGTCCAAACAGAGCACTGTCCATTGTAGCAAGAGAAACCTTTAGATTTTGGTAGTTTCTGTGGCAGTTTCTTGGGGTGTTTCTAAGAAATGTGAAATGCTAATCTTATTTGAAAGAAACTAAAAGGACTTGTTTGCACTGACAGGTCAGAGAGACCATGGTAGAAGGCTTAGCAAACATTGGTGGTAAGATTTTTACATCATTTTCTAAGAATAATAATAAGCTTACTAAATACAATGGCATTAGAGATTAACTACCTCCTTTGTTTTATTTGGCAATTCAGATTTTTGTATTTTTCAAAACCATGATTTTTGTTATAATATTTTTAATGAGGTATTAGTTTTCTGTAAGAAAATTAATTTACATTTATAAAATCACTGAATATAAATTTAGATTTTTTTTTTTTAGGCTGCTACCTTAGCAGCTGATGATAGTCATCCTGATCTTACTGGTTTAAAGTGCTGCCTGTTTCTTAGAACTTGTGTGTGGAACTTTTAGAACTTTTGACAACTTTGAAATTATAGTTTAAAAAAACCCAATATCTAACAGAGGTTGTTATTAGATTTGCTAACAAAAAATAAAATGAAATGACCCCAAGAAAGGGCAAAGCATATTAGAGATTGCTAAAGAAAGTAAATTTTTTTCAACAGAACAAAATATGTAGCCTGTTCAAAATATTTTAACAAAGGAAATATAAAAATAAAGGAGGTCTTGTGACATGAGCCATGTGATCAAAGATGTACTGTAAGAATGCTTCCCTGTCAAGTAAGAGGAAAGAGTATGATTTAATCCATTTAGTCTTTAGTCCCACAAGATTGGAACTCATAGAATTAAGCAATAACCAAATCTTAGAGATTCCAATTTATTCTAGTCATTGCTAATTGCTGCTTACTGGTATACATATGTATTTTGAAGGAATTTGGTCAAATACAGCAGTCATATTTCATACTTTCGTATTTTGTTTATTCAAGGTATATTCTTTTATACCAGCTTCTCACACTATCATACAATATTTATAAGCCCTTTCTCTCACAAAGGCTTGTAAACCCCACAGCATTTGGGGGCTCTCCAGTCATGCCTTGTCTCTCTTTGGTGTTTGCATGACATATTACAACAGCAGCAATGTAATTGTTAATTTGTATAGGGTCAAACAGTTGCTTATAAATCAGATTTTTTTAATTATGACACAAAGCTGCCCCCAAATGGGATCTCTCCTTTTTAGGGAGCTGTTTAATACATTTGCTTCTACCATTTTTGATTTCTTTTTTAAAGGTTACTTGGCACTAACTTATTTCATTACTTCTCTTGAAGCTGCTTTCCAGTCCATGATGAGTGGAGGCAATATCGGAAAACAGATCGTCTCAGTTTCTAAGTAAAAGTCACTGGTTTGAGAAAAATAATTGCACTCTGTCTCTAATAGTGAGGAAGCTTTTACTTATACCAATTTCCATTTTTTAAATAAACCATCAAGTTGTTCTGTGTGAATTGAAAGCAGAGATTTTGGGATGCTAATAAACTAAATAGAACTGCAAACAGGAATGCAATCATTTATACTCAAAATGAGTAATACATTCTTTGAGGTGGTTTTTTACAGTTGCCAGCTATAACCCTTGCATGTATTTCATGGGTATGGTTTAAAAGTTAGAAAATCCCAGTGTTGCCCCAAACACAGGCTCATCACCTGGTCTGTGTATGATGGCACTTCACACACCAAGGCGGTAACCCTCAAAGGGCTGGCTCACCATCATCAAAACTTTACACTGTTTACACGTTTTTAGCAATCAGCATTCATGGGTTACAATTTACATGACTTTTTCATTAGTTAGTGCTCAAACCCTTATTTGCTGGTTGTATCTCTTGCTTCTCATGCTAATTATTCTGCACATAAAAGTTGCAATGTCCTATAACATGCATTTCCCTATATATGGCATCCTCCAATCTATCAATTTTATTTCCATTTCAACAGTCTGTTTTGAGAGAAATGTCTTTTATTCTTCAAACTGAGGACTGTTCTCTTTTATTCCAGCCTGCTTGGAAGGAAGTATACATAGGATAGTATTCAAAGCAAGCTAATTAAATACCTGTATATTTTAAAAGAGACTTCGGCTATGAACTGTGGTAAGTTTGTGTTGTATGAATGTAAGAAAGCAACCATAGTAATAACCACTATTAAACAGGAGTTAAAATGTTAATTTTCTTTCACATGTTATGGGTGAAAGGCTCAGTTTAATATATTTATGTTTCCAGAGTTGCATTTGTTTGTCCAAAGTACAAATTTTATTCTTTTCAACCATATTTGCTGAAGAGCTAGTCCAGAGTGAGCTCGTCTCTGGCACTGTGAGTTGGCACACCTTCCAGAAGTAATCATCCTCTAGGAAGTTATTTTGCACAACTGAAACAAACTGTGATAAAATGATAACATTCCCAGTAGTATTATTTTTACAGCAATTGCTTAGTAATCCACACAAGTCATAAATCTATTAAGAGCTGTGATGTGAGGGGTGATCCAGAGTGAGATCATGCTGAGGTATTGATTCTTTACTGTAATAAAGGCAGCCTGACTGCAGCAGCATTCCTGGAGTTAGGTAAGCTATGGAGGGCAATACAAGTTCTAGGAGCATTAGTCAAGTGCCTTTGGGAAAAAAAAAAAAAAGATGGGGACAGTCAAAGTAAACTTCATCCTGATACCCCCAATGTTTAGGATTCTCACGGAAGTATTTCTTTACCTGTGAATCCTGGTTCATGTTGCCTCCTAAGAACAAACAAAAACCAAAGAGAGAAGATTCTTTAAACCAAGTGCCCAACAGTTATAAAAAATATTTTTTTCACCTTAATTTCTCAATTATTGTAATAGTGTGGCTCTGCAGCTGTCATATATCTTGTACTGTGAGAGGTGTCATATAACAAAGGGTAACAAATAACTGGTAACAAAAATCCAGTATGCTTTGGATGTATTAGATAGTTAATCACTGGCTCTAGAAGCACTAGTATTTGTAGAGTAGGAGTTGTGTGATAGTTGTCCCTAAAGTAGGGTTATTTCATGCGGTGTGCAAGAGCCAATCAATACACTGAGTCGAGATATTTGATTTTATTGCCATACTGTAGAATAGGATGCTAGGTATCTAACACTGTTGTCCCTGAAAAGTGGAATCTTTCACCTGGTGTGCAAAGCCAGTAGATATACGAGGTTGAAGGGGGTGCTAGGTGGTAACCCCCAAAGCTAGCACATCGAAGGCCAAAAAATACAAGCATATGTATACAGTTCTGTTGAGGCAATATGGACATGATGAATCAACATCATTATTTGGCTAAGCTGCATTTGGCTTAAATTTCTGTCACCTTGATTTAAAGGTGCATTCTAAATTCATTGTACAAGTTCACTGGGTAGGGGTCTTCACAGGCGGAGAGCCTCAGCTTCAGAGGTGTGGTTTTCACATTATAACCTGCTAAGTTCATCCAGAGGACACAATTTCTTAAGTTAGTTGTAACATTTTTAAACCCCAACCTTCAGAGGCTTGTTTGGGCTGGTGTAATTGTTGCTGGTTGTAGTCTAAACTAGACACATAGTCTAGTTTAGAAAGGAGACATTGTTATAATTTTTACTATTTATACATTTTAGCAAACAAAGGAATTAGTGTCCATTTGCTACAACCTGCATAGTCTCTTATTAATTACTTCTCTACCTTCTATTAATGATTCTCTTGCTTCTCATGGTAATTAGTCTGTATACTTAGTCTTTCTTTTGAGTTGGTGGGTTTCTTGGGTTGGTGGTCTGTGAGTCGGTGGTCACGATCTCCCCCTGCCAGAATTACCTTTTACCCAGTCAGAGCCGATTTCAGCACAGTTGCTGAGTTGGCTTAATTAGTTTCTTCCTTATCTTGGAGGTTCTGCATGTCCCTGTGGCCCGTAAATTCTCCATTCTTCGTGTCTGCCATCAGTGGTACATCCTTCTTCCCAAGCTTTGTTAACCTCCCACTGTGTCTGAGATCTTTCAAGCATGCCGAGCCCTAAACTGTCAAGGCCAACAAGTAATTTGTCTTTCTAGCACCTGGACATCGCTTAGAGCTGGCTTGTTCGCTGCTGTTTCTTGGATTAAATCTTCTTTCTTGTTGATTTGGTGTGAAAGTATAAAAAAGATTAAACATCAAAGAACATCTTTTCTTAAGAAAATTTTCATGTATCTCACATTTTGCACCAATAAGGCAGGACTCTGTGTCATAACCCTCTTCTCATTCCCTGTAACTCTCTGGGCAAATTGTTCACTATTTCTTATTCATGTTATGCATTTCACAGCATCTTGGATGTAATTCACCGATGAACAGAATAATTCCTTCATAAGCAAACAGAACAACATGAAAAATTACACATACTTTTTCTGAGGGACTTGAAAACAAAAAAGACAACCAAATGCATTTGGAAGACACTGTCAGATTTTTTTTCTTTCCAAATAATAATTTCAAGTGTACTTTTAGGTAATTTAAAATGGGAATGAACTACTTTAAGTGAGCTCCTCCATGCAGATTAGAAAACCCAACCAAAGCAACCCTAGAGTATTGTAATAGAAGCTTTTATACTATGAAAGATTGATTTGTCACAGATCATACTCATGTCCCCCAGCAGTACGTACAGTACTTCAGCAGTCTGGTTGCACGATCTGTCACGTGCTTTGCTCACATCACGTAGCTCTGATTTGTCCAATAAAGAGCTTGTAAAGGACTCTTGACTTCAACAGACCTCTGTATTCTCATGCTTACCCTGAAACATCAATACTATTTTAAACAAAAGAAAACTATATGCCAGAAATAATGAATGCCAAAGGCATTTGCTTCTCTTCGAATAGAAAAATCAATAAATGTTTTTATCCACTACTCATCCATAAACTGGGAAAAAAATGCCTTAAATCATGTAACACAGTGAGATCTTACACTGATGCTGACTGATGTAAATGCTAAGATACATTACAGCCAATACTGTGTTATCTTCTCAGTAAAAATGCAGCCTTTTAGAGAGCAGAAGAGCTTTATTTTGAAAGAAGACCAAACCCAGGCAATTCATCAGGACAGCCCAGGATCTGTTATCACTGGAATGTCTTGCTTCAGTCTGCTATGTTGATTTGTGCCTTCTGGGCACCACAGGCCAAAAGAGGAGCAAATCCAATTTTCTTTAAAGGGTGGATCCCAGATTTATCATAATTTATCTATTTATCTCCATAGTTGTCAGAGGTTTGTCCAGTTACTAGTAGTTCTTTAAGTGAGTGGTGATTCTAGGAGATGGCTTGCATTTTACAAAACCCATTTATTTTGTTTGAATTTGAAGGGAAAACATCCTGTGTTGTGCATTTAGTTACTTATAGTTAACTTGGGCAACCACTTGCCTACATGATAGGGACTGCTGAATTAGAAGAACAGACTAAGGGTTAGCCTCTAATAACTGAGATATAAAGAATTAAGAAACTTCAAAGACAGTATTGGTAAATAAAATCTTCCTGTGTTAAAGTGTACAGCTCAAGTAGGAAAGTTAGGATTTTCCTACTAAAGTTTTAGAATATTGGAAAACTGTTTAAGAAGGAGAAAATCTGAATAAACATGAGACAAAAGTTTTACTTGTCTTTTAGGCAACAAAAAGCTGCAATAGCTCTGTCTGTAGAGCATGAGGTCAGAGATGATTCCTGTGTAGGGTAGAGCTCTAAGCTTCTACAGTGTGCTCTTCACTGTGACAGCAGGACAGTAGGATAGCCCCTTCCTCTCAAAATTTATTACATTATTCTCACATACATATATAATTCACACATCAACCACATTAGGAGCATGTGATTCTTCTTTGGGTTGCTGGAGCCAGGGATAATGCATCTACAAACAAAATATCTTTGCTCCCCACACTAAGAATAGCACTGAGAGCTCTTTAACAGAATTCCATCCATCTACCAAACACAGCCCACAGAGCCAAAAAGTATTTGACAGACTGTAAGATTTTTAACTCTATAGAAATATGATTGCATTGAGATTTTTTTATGTTGCAGTTGACTGTTAACACCACCAAAAAAAAGTCTCACTTCAGAACACAGTCTTGTCACAGGGTAGAAATACGAAGTATTTTATTGCCAGTTCTTATGCTCCCTTATCACATAAAAGTAATTGTGAAATGTCATTATTAATTTTTCAGTAGCATTTCTCACAAATACATTTTGTGCCCTGCCTCTGATTTTCTAACAGCTTTGCAAAACAAACTTATGTAGCAACAAATGACATTCTGTATTGTCTTAACAGTGTATTTAACTTATGCAAATGAGAGCTCTATTATAATCATCAATCATTGAAGAACACAAATTAAAGAGTAGGAAAACTGTCATCTTTTAGAAATAACAAAAAGTCTTTGTTGTAGTCAACATTTTCTTCCAATTCAGTTTATTTTCCTATGTTCTACTACAGTCACAGGTGCCCTAAGTAAGTTACCTCTCCTTTTTCTTTTGAGGAGCCATAAATAAATTACTGTAAAATTACCTGAAGTATTTCAAATGTTCTACTCACAGCAGT